GTCGATGAATGTAGATGTGTTATTTTTGTGTGTGGAAATTGCTCCACAGTGGGGTGGGATAGTAACCCTACTGGCTATTTAGAAAATGTACTCGTAGACATGTTTAATAAAATAGATAGTTTTCAAATTCCTTTGTTGAGTTCTCTTCTATTTCCTAACTCCAAAATGATTTCAACACCCGACCGGGAGAAGACGAACGAGAGAAGACACGTTTTAGAATCGACCCCGTCAACCAAGACCTCCCCACAAGGAGGGGGCTATGCAATATTTTGTTTATTTGGCGCAGTGGCCATGACCTCCGTAGAAGAGAGGAGGTATGCAACAGAATCACAAAGTTACTGTTCGTTTGTGTAAGAATAACTAAAAAAAAAATTTTGCCGGCGTAAATGCAAGAACGCGTTAGAGAATTTCTTTGTGAAAGGGGAAATAATTTGAGAGCTTCTACAGTAACATATGCTTTGTATAATAGGTTGTTTAAAAATGGCATCTATAGCGCTCTATTTGAATATTATTTTAATATTTTTAGGATTGAGCCCTATATATAAAATATCTGGTGTTTCTTAAACCTTGAATATATATATATATATATATATATATATATATATATATATATATATATATATATATATGTCTGATTGAATAAATTACAGAGATTAGTAGGCTAATTTTTAATAGAATCGTTCATATTCACGAATAACCTTCCGTGTATTGATGTTAAAATAGAGAGAATGTGCTATGACTGTTTAAATTTCTTTTATTTTTATTTCCCACATTTATAGCACATTTATCTCATCCTATAAAATCAATATACGAAAACTTATTCGTGTATATGAACGGATTTTATTAAAATTAGCAGACATAATGTCTGTAATTTAATCAGTCAGACATGTCTAAAAGAGAATTTGATGCATAATACACAAGTTTTAATATATATATATATATATATATATATATATATATATATATATATATATATATTTTTACAATTGGAATTATGATACGTTTAGTTAATGAACATTTTCACCTACAATTTAAAATTCGCAGGATTATTCAAACTGTTTCCGGTATCCATTAGTAGTGGGACTAACTGATTAACTTAAGGTATTTTAATTCCAATTGAAAATCTTTAATGAAAATGATCGTTGAGCGGTCTTTGTAAGTCAATCCTATGTTGCGTTAATAGGACACACCTGGATTATACCGACGGATTACTACATATATATATATTATATATATATATATATATATATATATATATATATATATATATATGTGTGTGTGTGTGTGTGTGTGTGTGTAAAAAACAATAGGCAAACTATAATATTAGCCGACGCGTTTCGTCCAATGTGGACTTTTACCAGGCAAAAACGAAAATGAATATATTGAAACAAAGTAAATACTAATGAATTCATTACGTTTTTGCCTTGACAAATTCCACATTGGACGAAACGCGTCGGGTAATATTAAAGCTTTCCAATTGTCTTTTACATTTATAAATATAATCTTTTTCTACAGGTTGACAGAATTTTTTTTATATATATATATATATATATATATATATATATATATATATATATATATTTAAGTGAGAAGTTGCCTGTTCAAGTACAAGGATAAATTAAACAAAACCTAAATTCTATTGACATTTCTCTTTCATTCAGAAAGTGTTTTCTGGTTATTCTAACTGAACGAGTAGGTGCATAAAAGATATGCCAACGTTTGGGAGATGCTGTTCCATATCCTGTTTGTGGCATAATGCGTAGGTCTGAAGCTGGCCTAAAAAGCCATCGACGACTCACGTTCTTTATCAAGGGTGGGACGAGCTATTGACTCCTCATACGTCGAAAACAATCGAAGAATCCTTCATCGGGATCAATATATTTAAAAATTTAAAATTTAAAGACCCCGCTCTTTTGTTCCCATATATAGTCACATCAACGTAACCATCACTGTAGTTCGATGAACACCTAAAGAACGAAACGCTTTGACACAAAAAGTTGTTTGTTTTTTTTTAAATTTGTTATTGATATTCCTAATATCTAATATATACTGGATATAACAATAAAATTGTCCAAATCGTGTAACAGCAAAATTGTCCATTTTTTTTTTAGATTTAGGTCTGAACCGTTGTAAGTTATAAATGATTAAAGATATCTTACTGGATGTCTCCGAGGTTTTTATAACACTATTAGGCTCTACTGTAAACGATAAGAAAGTATTTAGCTCTAAGTTGAAATCCTGATCCTTCTCGCTGTTGTGACCTCCTGATCTAGTTTTCCTCTCTACTGTTCCCGCTGTTTTAAAAACTTATTCACCGTTCTCTTGATGCTTCTTGAATGGATCTTTTTCATATCACTATTGCTCAGTGGGAAAGAGATAGTGGGCCTGAAACAAAATGATTTTCGCATGTTCTCTTTTTATCTAGGTCTCGTCAGGTGGTTTGTTCAGTGCTGAACGAACACCTTGACGAGACCTTGGCGGTCGAAACCCCGGTAGTGTTCTCGTCAGCGTTCTTATCTTTTAAAGACATTAAATCGCTCTGCAAGTGTTTCAGTGTTGGTTTAATCAGCGTTTTCTTGTTCAGTGCCGGTCAAAACCACGGTAGTGTGTGTGTGTGCGGTAATCAATTCCCTCCTTGTAAGGCAAGGCCATGATGCCACTAAAACGCAAAGGCTTTAAGAAATCAGATCGAAAACCCAATCCTAAACAGAGAACAGGGGATTAAAGTCTACTCCTGTTCAAATGATTGGAGAGGAGGATAAACCGGGCGACAGGCGAATCTCGCATTCTCCTGCTGAGTAAAAAGTTAAAAAGCAGAAAATAAATACTAAATATAAAATTTCATAGTTTAGACGGAGACCTTAGAGGCATAGAGTTATATTAGACAATAGAAGGAACCGGAAACCCATTTCTAAACAGGAAACAAGGGATAAAGCACTACTACTGGCCAAAAGAACGTGGAGGAGTCTTAACCGGTTTATGGCCGAACCTATATTCTCCGATATATATATATATATATATATATATATATGAGGCATATCTATTTTATTTCATACTAATCCTTTCTTGTTCTCTAATCTATTCTCTAAATACTTATTTTGGTTTGACGACTACAACATTATCAAGATGTCTTATACTACATTTGACTGATAGATTTTCTATTGGTGAACATTTCATAACGTATTCCTGTCCAGCTTCACAATGCAGGAAAATACTTGTTGACAACATCAATATACTAAACCGTAAAACTAATAAACGAAAACTTCAAATTTACTACTATCAATGATATTAAATTCTGTCTTTACCCTTTACGCCTGAAGGTGATGTTAAATGAAATTGAAAATACTTGAGAGAATAAAAGAAATGAAATAAGAAAAAAAAAACTACGACGCCTTCCTCAATGAATTTAATATCAACATTGAGAAGCTGATCCCCAAATTCGAGAGAATTAAAATAAAATAAGTAGACATAATATGTTCAGATTATTCAACCATCATGATTGAATGAAGATATGATGCATATATATTAAGAAATGGACAAAGTCCGACAATTTATTTATTAAAGACATTTTTATGTTTAACGTTCTTTTTTATAGATACAAGTATTTAAGTAAATGCTCTGTTTATAATAAACAGTATTAAATAACATTTACCGGCCTGAATGTCTGAGAAATTTTCATAGGATGCAGGTTCGAATCCTGTCAAAGGACGAATATTTTCTATGAAAATTACTCGGACATTCAGGCCGGTAAATGTTATTTAATACTGTTTATTATAAAAAGAGCATTTACTTAAATACTTGCATCTATAAAAAAGAACGTTAAACATAAAAATGTCTTTAATAAATACATATATATATATATATGTGTGTGCGTGTTTGTAGAGAAAGAGAGAGAGAGATAGGAAATGCAACTGGTGTTTCTAAGAATTGATGGTGATATGGTTATTTTCTAAGCGTAGCATATATGTGGCACAAGGCCGAAAGTATGTGGCACCTTGTGAGGATCAAACTCACTTTTCAATCGTAACTGATCTAGCGAGACAAGCTTGCTAACCATTACACCACCTCGAGGTGCCCAAGTTGGTGGCGATATGTGTGGTTAGGGCATATGTTTCACACATCTCTCAATTTCAATTTAAGTTTTGAAAATTATAAAACTGTTTTAGCTGAACAGTGACTGTAAATAATTTTTTATAGTTTTAATCGATATTAAAAAAAATACTTTCTTATATACACGTAGAGTATATGTATAAAAGATAATATGAATAAAGACAAAAGAACACTTATTTTAGCCAACGTGTTTCGTACACTTTTGTCTTGATAAAGTCCCTCAGAGAACGAAACGCTTAGGCTAAGATAAGTTTTCTTTTATGTCTTTATATTTATATATATATATATATATATATATATATATATATATATATATATATATATATATATATAATTTCTATCTATTTTGTGAAATCATACTTCACTTTTATGGCATTGTGCCAGAAGGAGCTATGATTAGGATGTCTCCATACGCGTACATGCAGGTGCGCCTGCGCAGGCGCATGTATATCATTATTTGTGTAAGACCGCAGATGGTCCGGAGAGAATACTAATCGCAGACATGATTTCGGAATGGTAGAACAACTTTAAAAAAACAACACAAGTTGAGAGAATATAATATTATGGCCATCCGAAATAGTGTCAGGAGAAGAAATCAGAAGGCTTTTCTGTAATGCGAGGTAAGTAAATTGCTTTGAGAGTTCAACGAAAAAATCGGTCGTCTGATTGAGGCGTAGAGACTCGACAACATAATAAGAATCTTTGAAGACCAAAAGGAGAGAAAAGCTTGTTTAAATATCAGAACGAAGAAGAAGAAGAAGAAGAAGAAGAAGAAGAATACCATCAAAATATTTGGTCGAAAGAATAGTAGCCAGGTGTAGTCATTATTATAACTGTCAAGTTTCCTGATTGCGTGGCTACGATGGATAAGCGGTTTAAACTACATTGCTTTATTGCAATTGAAAAGACAGAGAGAAATTTGTCTTTAAAGGAGAAGAAAAATATATAAAGAAGGAGAAGTAGAAGATGAAGAAGAAGAAGAAGAAGAAGAAGAAGAAGAAGAGGATGAAGAAGAAGAAGAAGAAGAAGAAGAAGAAGAAGAAGAGGAAGAGGAAGAAGAAGAAGAAGAAGAGTGAAATGAAGAAGAATAAGAAAAAGAAAATGAGAAAAAAGAAGTATAGGAGAAAAGTAGTACTAGTAGTAGTAGAAGAAGAAGAAGAAGAAGAAGAAGAAGAAGAAGAAGAAGAAGAAGAAGAAGAAAGTAGATGAGGAGGAGGTGGGGGAAGGAAGAAAATGTAGAAGAAAATAAGTAGAAAAAGAAGAAGAATTAAACGAACAAGGAAACGAACAAGAAGAACAGGAATCAGAAGAAGCAGGAGAAGAAAAATTAGAAGAAAAATAATTAGAGGAATAAGAAGAAGAAGAAAAAGAGAAAGAAGAAGAATATAGAAGAAGAAGAAGAAGAACATGAAGACAAAGTAGAAGAAAAATAGGTAGAATAATAATAATAAGAAGAAAAAATAGAAGAAGCAGAAGAAAAAGAAGGAGAGAAAGAAAAAGCAGAAGGAAAGTACAAGAAAAATAGAACAAAAAGAAAAGAGAAAAAGAAAAAATAGAAGAGAAAAGTAAAAGAAAAAAGTAGAAAAGAGAAAAGAAAAAGTAGAAAAAGAGAAAAGTAGAAAAAGAAAGAGAAAGAAAAGTAGAAAAAAAAGAAAAGAAAAAGAAGAAGAAAAGAAAAGTAAAAAAGAAAGAAAAAAAAAAGTAGAAGAAGAAAAGAAAAGAAGAAGAGAAAAAGAAAAAAAGAAAAAGAAAAGAAAAAAGTAGAAAAGAAAGAAGAAAAGGAAAAAAGAAAAGTAGAAGAAAAGAAAAGAGAAAAGAAAGAGAAAAAGAAAGAAGAAAGAGAAAAAGAAGAAGAAAGAGAAAAGAAAAGAAGAAAAAGAAAAAAGTAGAAAAAGAAAGAGAAAAAGAAAAAGAAAAAAAGAAAAAAAAGAAAAGAAAAGAAAAAAAAAAAAGTAGAAAAAGAAAGAAAAAGAAAAGTAGAAGAAGAAAGAAAAAGAAAAAAGTAAGAAGAAAAAAAAAAAAAGAAAAAAAAAAAAAAAAGAAGAAGAAAAAAAAAAAAATTAGGAGAAGAAAAGAAGTAGAAAACTAAGAATTAAAAGAAATATATAATTCAAAATTCTAGAAAGATTCACCATATCAACACCTAAATGCTAACTTAATTCTTAAGAAAAAAAAAAAAAAAAAAACGAAATAAAGTGTGATATCAGAATCCTCCAAAGTGTTTAATTAGAATAAAGGCGGCAAATCAACTCATTGCACGTTATTTAAACCCAGAAAATATTATTAGATTGTAAGAATTTATATTTTAGAAATAATAATAGTTTAGTGATACTAGTCTTACTAATTAACGAATAACTGAGGAGGGAAAAGGTGGATTAAGCAAAAAGATAATCTAGAAGAAGATTTATTAGAATACTAGGGTATTTGGAGTATAAGTGAATATAAAGAACCCAACTTGAATTGGAACTCGATTCTCCGATTAACAATTCTGTGCCATGATCAATAGCACCAGCAGCATATGCAAGCTTACAGCAACTGGTGTTCATAAGCGGTCACCATTTTATGTACTGGCCAGTCTAGACGTTGCTGGTGATTTTTTCTGGCAACTGGTGTTTCAACGTGATATTGTCTTAAGCCTAAATTACTGGATCCTGTCGCTTTGAAAAAACGGGAAGGTTTTTCCTTTGCAAATAAAAATACAGGAACAACCAATTGTCAATGACAAATTAAAATTTTCTAACCAATTTCAAGTTTCGCTGATACACCGTTGTAAAATAAGCTATTAAATTCATTATCACACACATATATATATATATATATATATATATATATATATATATATATATATATATATATATATTAAGACATGCTTATGTTTATACATTCTTTTATAGATACAAATATTTAGGTAAATGCTCTGTTTATTATAAACAGTATTAACAACATTGACCGGCCTGAATGTCCGAGAAATTTTCATAGAAATGTCTTAAAATAATTATCGGACCATGTCCATTTCATAATGTGTGACGTCATTTGTTTACATTTGGATACGCAACGAGCAGATATGAATGTACAAGAGAAAATCATGGAGAATTGTAGTTTAAAAACAGTAAAATCGACCTTGCTAATCGAACGCTCCTCCGTGGCGAAATCGGTAAAAGCATGTCGGGCTACATGACGGTTCTGTATAGGATACAAGTTCGATTCCTATCGGAGGACGCATATTTTCTATGAAAATGTCTTGGATATTCAGGCCGGTAAATGTTGTTAATACTGTTTATTATAAACAGAGCATTTACTTAAATATTTGTATCTATACAAAAGAATGTATAAACATAAAAATGTCTGAAAATAATTGTCGGACTTTGTCCATTTCATTATATATATATATATATATATTACTACTTAAAGTTTCATCTGTCTTTTGTCATAGAGCTATCCTTGGATCTATATCCTCCTGGAAATTCCATGCTGATTACCATATTACTATATATATATATATATATATATATATATATATATATATATATATGAGATCTGATCAAAAATATCAAACTTCTGTTATGATAACTCGCGTGCAAATTTGGTCATACTGTCCTCGCTCACTTCTCTTGTTTAGACCAGGGATTGGCAGGGATGTGTGTAGTGTGTTCTTATCTCACTACACCACAGTGCTTGCCTTAGTGACCATGGCTTGTGCAACCCTTTTTACCCAAGGACACCATTCCCCCGTTCCGGTAAACACGATATTCCCCATATTTCGCCTACGTCCTTCATCAGCAGCACGAGAAATAAACAGTATAACGAGGAACTGTATTATCCTTTTTGTTGCTGTTGCTTTCCTATTTTTTTCTCTAACATTTTATTTTTATTAACTTTTTCTCTTTGTTCGCACACACGTTTCCTATCGGCCAAATCTCTCAGCACTGACCACACACGGGACGTCTTCCTCACCCCAAATCCTATAACCCTCTTCCTCTATGTTCAAAATCTCACTCCCCTCCTATATACCTCCATGCGTCTTATATATATATATATATATATATATATATATATATATATATATGGAGGATTTAATAAATCCTTGACCTTTCAGTGAAAAACGGCAATTATTTTTTTAAAGAAATGCGTATATCTCAATATATTCTCCTTCGAAATCATGCTCACTGCTTTCTGTGAAATAAAATACATAGAAAATTATACAGTTAAAATTTAAAGCCAAATTTCAGCTAACACTTTCATGTGAACCTATGTAATTACTTATCAAAAATCCTATATTACTTCATCTTTCTCTCGCCATATATATATATATATATATTCGTTATTTATTTTGTTGCTAATACAATCTGACAATCGTAACCTTGTAAGTTATTGAATAAACAATTTGAAGTAATGGAACACCAAGAAGGCATTTTTCGCTAATGTTGCGTGTGCCTAAAAGATAAATCCCGACTTCTTCGATTAGATCTTCTAGGTATTTGAGAAACAGGATTGAGCCTAGTTTTTTGACAACCTGGGTAACTTTAGTATATCACTCCTCACTCTCACTCTCACTCTCTCTCTCTCTCTCTCTCTCTCTCATCACACACACACACACACACATATATATATATATATATATATATATATATATATATATATATATATATATATATATATATACTAGCAGCATGGCCCGGCGTTGCTTTTTGATTGAAAAAATCGTACGACTCATACAGCAATCGCTATCACTTGACTTAAAATAATTTTGCCCTTCCTTGCCTTTAAAGGGTGTGCTGATGTTGCTACATGCCTTTACTTCTTGCCTATCTCACACTGCGATTTTTTCTACGCTCTATACTAAACATTAAATCTGTTACGAAAAAAAGAACTAAACAAAATGAACACAAAACGATTAGCTTTAAAAAAAGGACTCGTAACTGGAAAAACCGAATGAAAAAAAGAATGTTAACAACAAATACTTTTTCACATCCAACCCAGTTCTGCGGAATCAGAATCAACGTTGAGTTTAAGCAAGCGAATAAGCCAATTGGAGTAAAGTGCCATGCAGATTTAGATTTTTCCCACTTGTTACGAATGCAGCTATCGATATTTTTTGCATGCTAGCATGCAAGTTAACATTCGTGTCAGTCAGCAGTCATGCTAGCCAATAGAATCTTCTTGCCTATTCGTGGCAGCCAGCTATTGGCTCTCACTCTGGCCAGGAGAAAATGGCCACAAACTACATGAAAACTGCCGTAGAAGCATGAAAAAATCGATTATTTCCACTATCGATGGGAATTGGGAAATGTAAAGTCGGTCTTGTGCATGTAAATTTTGGTGCAAGTCCGTGGAAAATTGCGGCCGTGCATTCGTTACACACACACACACACACACACACACACACACACACCCTGCCTCTTATATATATATATATATATATATATATATATATATATATATATATATATATATATATGTATGTGTATATGTGTATGTCTGTGCCGAGTGCAACAGGAAAATTGTCCAAATCGTGTAAAATTGTCCAAATCGGCTTCTTCGATTAGATCTTCTTGATTCTTGAGCCACAGGATTGAGTCTAGTTCTTTGACAACCTTAAGAGCTAATGGGTAACTTCACTATCTCTCTCTCTCACACACACACACACACAGCACATACACACAAACACACACATATATATATACATGTGGTATGTATGCGTTTTATGTGTGTGCAAAAGTCTAACAGGAAAATTCTCCAAACCGTGTAAAATTGTCAGAATCGTGTTTTCCCATGAAATATTTAATGTCTTAAAGTCTAAAAACCACGAAAGTAATTGAGTTTCGTTTCCCTGGTTTTCAGATAAGAAGTTTAGATATCGTGACAACATTTATCGTAAAAATCACAGAAAAACCAGTTCATTTATTCGGCAAGAAAGAAATATGGTTAAAATCAGTTTATGTCAGCCCTACTATGTCTTCCCAACTGAGCAAGGGCGAGACGAAAAATATCATTCAGGTCTTCAGTAATGGTACTAAAGTTCATGCTCTGGCTTCCATCTTTAAAGTCCTTTCTAGAAGCATCAAGAAAACGATAGATAGATTTAAGAAAGGGTAAGAAATATAAGAGAAAACATGGTCAGGTGATCACAACAGTAAAAGAGAACATCATTTCAACTTAATTACATTCTTATTGTTCAAAGTAGAATCCAATGTTATAAAAACCTTGTAGAATCCACTGAATTTTGATGTTCAAAAAATTAATTGGATTTTCAATCGTCATCTTTTATTTACTTAAACTCTGTACTTTTATTGTCCCCTTGCCTTAATTATTTTCTTTTTGGTCACAGAATCTTTCGCACGCAGTAACCACTTGCATTTTAGGGAATTTACTGTCTTTATTCGGGTAAAATGATTAAAAAAATGCAAAGAAACACTGTCTTTCCATTCTTATATTTTTCGTTTTAAATATCACACACAGGTTGATAAACCGTAACAAAACAAATCAAATCACGTATATGTTTCATAACGACCAAAATGGCTTCATAACGAAAGATCCCATTTTTCTTTTCAGATGCCCTCTGCGTAATGATAACTATGGATTATAAACTGAAATATTTATTTTTAATTTGCGTCATTAATTGCAGATAATTAATTTTAGTTTTATTTCGCATTTTGCGTTTTTTGTCTCTTTTTAAATACCTCGTACTGTTTCATGCATTTTGAACTAATAATTTCACGGCATTGGTGTATCTATTTATCCATTTCATTTTTGGTCAATTTGAAGTACCATCCTAGCCTACTCAAACCTATCACGTCGTGTTTTTCATTTTTTTTCACATATGTCGGCATCATATTTGCCTTGGAGAAAACAACAGAAGAGTTCTTCAGTCTGTCACAAGAATCCATGGCAATTCACAGATAATAATGTAAAAACATTTTCTTTTCCATTGATACATTTACGAATAACGAAGTATCCTTGCAGAGAATATATAATATATATATATATATATATATATATATATATATGTGTGTGTGTGTGTGTGTGTGTGTGTGTGTGTGTGTGTGTGTGTGTGTGTGTATAAAAGACTGGGAAGTAAACAAATTAGTAAAATAGCGTCGTCACTGAATGGATTTTCACCAGTTATAGAGAACAGTAAAACTTTCAATGAGGCTGTTTCTCTTTGATATCAAAGAGTGTTGGGACTTATGTTGACCCTAGACTTCGCAGGGAAATTACATGTACGATCCATGCTCAAGTGAAACTCAAATGCACGTCTTATTCTCAATATGAACTAACATGTATTATCCATACTCAAGTGGAACTTCAATGCACGATCCATGCTCGAGTGGAACTCCCATGCACGATCCATACTCGATTGGAACTCACATACACGATCTATGCTCGAGTGGAACTCCCATGCACGATCCATGCTCGTGTGGAACTAACATACTCGATCCATGCTCGAGTGGAACTCCCAAGCACGATCGATGAGTTCCCATGCATGCAACAAGAGAACCATTTACCCTATGTATAAAAGATTTAACATACCAGCAAAATAGAGGCAATGCCTTAAATAAATTGGAAATCGTTTAACGTCCTACAAGTAGAACCATTTTTACGAAGATATTTAATCTTTACATAGTGAACTTCATAAAATAGGAAAATAAAAGCTTGTGCGAAAAAAATATTAATATCTAAATTAAAATAATTTAATATATAAAATTCACGGAATATTTAAATACGTCAATGTTTAACTTACAATATTCTTAAAATTTAAAATAACTTCAAAATCTCATAAGCAATCCCTCCAGATATATATTTTTTTTGCACAGATGTTGAAATTGGCAGAAATCGGCAAATTATTTAACAGATGAATCTATCGATTAATACACGAGTATATACGGTAACGATATTGGCTTAAGGCTTATAATTGGTCCATCTAAAAAATATATGTCTCCCCTCTTATTTCTGACTTCATAGGCCCTATTTACATTGCCTTTTATACATAGTGACATAATTGAAGAAAAAAAATTATTCTGATGCTATAATTAGCAGCGCGGAATTTTTCAGATGCAGATGTTCACATTGTCACCAAAACGCTGTGATAAAATTGAAGATGAGGGGTCAGTTTGAGGTCACCAAATAATTAATCACAACGTCATAGTAATAAAGCCACGACGTCACATGTCCCCTAACAAAAATGCAATCTATTTGCAACGTTGCAAAAAATGGGAGTAACCATCTTTCTTTAATGGGGAAAATTTAATTTAACAAAATTAAACGGGTCTTTTAAAAATTAAAAGATTAAAAAAATACTACTGTATTTGCATACTTAGAAATAAATTCATAGCATATATGAGATACACTTTCATATTTCGACTTTGAGTTTAAGATGTTTACTTCAGAGTTTCATTAGTTCATACAAGTATAGAAAGAATTATTTATGTTTGCTTTGAGATACATTTTGAGGCAATTAAGTTAGAAATGTAAAGTCGTTTATTTTTTATTTTTTCATTGCATGCTTTCTGGGTGGGCATATTCATGGGTATACGTATATTGGATAACCAGGGAAGAAAACCTTAGGAATAAAAAATGGCGAAAAGAATTAAAGAAAGCAATAAAATAATATGGAATTAGAGAAATGGATAAAGAAGATATATAGTAAAGAAAGAGGACAAAGTGGGGAACATAGCAAAAACAAAAAGAAGAAAAGTGAAATAAATAAATAATAGAACAATAATGAAGTAAAAATAGAGAAAAATCGATGAGAAGGAAAAGGTAATATAACAAAAAACTAAAATTACGGTAACACAAATGGACTAAGCAAGACGCCTTAAATAAAGAACTCAATGTGAGAAGAAAGTCCGTTGGACTCAGTCTAGTAGAATTTCTAGTTACGTCACGACGATTAGGCCAAGCGAAACATAATATAACCGTTAGTAACGAGTTATAACATAAAATATAGGACGACTGCTTAGATAGAGATACTGGAAAAATGGTCGATTCCTTCTATCCCACCACCAGAAAGTATGTGTTGCTTCCTTGGATAGTCTGTTTTTAAAAGAGCCAGAACCTAACCGAAAATGGAGTACTAATGCGAAACCTGGAGTGAAATTGATGGATCCTCACTTTTCAGTCTTTACCGCATTCAAAAGAAATTGTTAGCATATAATTTACAGTTAGATCTAGCGTTTTCGCCTCGTTGTGGCCACCGTATCTACTCATGTACAGATCACTCTGCATCCATCTTTGAATGTCCATATTGGAGTGGCACTGAAGATGAGGCCCTAAGGACATCGTATGAAATCAACCTCGTTGCTTCCGAAACCCTAAAAACAGTTAGAATGGCTTCATCTAAGCGTAAGATCTACGCTAGCAGTTTCTTCTCTTGCACTTCCTGCTTATGAAACTCTCTTCGGGCTTCTTGATTTCCACTCAACTTTGATCATCAAAAATTGAAATGCAGTGTCAATCGTTATCTTCTGTCCTCTTAGTTTCCGTTCTATTTTTGTTTTCAGTCCATAATAATGTATTCTTTTTCTTATATTCTGGTTGTAACATAGGGAAGGTTACTGACTAAAATAATCACATGAAGGTTGGTAATGAACGATAATACTTAGGATACAAACAGCACATATAAGATTCGCCTGCGGTCAAGAATTAGAAATGCTGTTTCCTGAGACGATACTCTGCCTTTCAACATAGCCTTGTCTGAGAATCCTCTCTGCCTCCAGGCAGAGAGTTGGAACAGCACAGCTGAAGACGAATCTACAACTGCAGGATATCTACCAACCGGCCCTCGCGGTCAGATATGGCGCAAGCCTGAATTTAATGTAGGGTGTCCGAGCCCGTAGGCTCGGCCAAAAATTCCCCGTCGACCTCGTATAAAACGGAGTCGGGTAGCTGTTTCCCGAGATGAAACTCTGCCCTTCGACATAGCCTCGTCTTGTGATCCCCACTGTGCAGTGGCAGAGAGTTTAACCAGCACAGCTGGAGACGAATCTCCAACTGTAGACCAACAAATACTGTTTTCTGCTATATTTATGTGAATGTGGACATACCCATTATCGTTCGTAGGTACGCTACAACATATTCATTTCACACTCAATAACCACACCTTGCGTTTCAGTGGCTTTATTGCCCTGCTTGGGGAGAAATAATTAAAACAAAAGAGTTGTTGGTATCTGTCGTTTTTCTTGCTTATCTATCGATGTTCAAGCAGTTAGCTCTCACCTAGTCCTATCGGTTGGCGGAAAGAGTCACGAGCTTCGCATGTGTTTCATTTCCGGTGTCTGATTGAAAGCTGCAGAATAAATGCGCTCGAAATGACTGAAAAAGAACAAAGAAGGAAGAATGGAAAAAAAAACAGTCTTATATCACGGAATATAATGTTTATAGCTTTCTAAAGATACGTTTTCAAACACACGATGAACAAGACATTGGCTACCTAACTTTGATGCTTTGTTTACATGCAAAATGGCCCTTACAAAATGCGGCATAGACACTATAAACCACTTAAAAACGTTTTGTTTTACACGCAATAACTCTTATCCCTATTGTTATTTATCACTATTTTCGTGGCAAATCTTCTGTCAAGTTACATTAATTATGCAGACTTTTACAACTAAGACCTGCGATGCCACGATCTTATTGGATAAGATATCCTTATTTACTTCAAATTAAATTAGTAAGTATGGATTTCCATTCGGAGAGCTTATTTCCAAGAACTGCTACTTTGTAGAACAGTCTCCCGAGTGGGTGCTTCTCTAATCAATCCAATCTTCACTTGTTCAAGTCTAGTATTAATCATTATCTTTCGTTCATATCATCATAATCAGCACTCCTTATCTCCTCCTATGTTTACGTTCATACAACAGCCTCATTCAATAGCCCTCTACTTTGGGTGAACAATTAGTTAAGAAAAAGTTTTTCATTTCAAATTGATCTGATAGTCTCTTTATCAGTGGAAGCAATTTCAGCAATCAATCTGATACAGATTCGTCGATATTTTCGAATGATTTCATCGATTTTTTCTTTTCTTTCTTTTTCCTTAGTTTCTTGACGTGAATGAGAGACTCAAAACGTTCATCATCCTTGACATCTCAATCTTTTCAGAATCTGCTGGACCTCTCGAAAATACGCGTAAAAGAAATACGTTGTACCCTATAAATTTCAATTAGCATACGAAAAGATTTTGGAGACATTTTATCTTATTTAAAAAAAAATATAAAATAATTGATTCCTAGTTCGATTTGATATTATTTTAACGGCACAAAAAGGAATGAAAAAATCGAACTTATTTCCAGCAACTGCAAACTAAAGACGTGAGTGGTTTAAAAAAATTAGCGGTTGTTTGTGCATGTTTACTCTATGCCAAAGATTCACTCAAGCCTGCTTCTTTTTCTCTTAGGTAAGCGCAATCTGGTCAAAAGGATAGAAACGAAATTACTTTTATCATAAGCAAAAAAAAAAAAAAAAAGAAAAAAAAGAGTAACGAGTAATTTAGAGGAATAAAGAATAAGGAAGATGAAAAATAAAGACAAACAGAAAAATGGACGAGGGGAGTCAAAAAGAAAGCAAAAAAGTTAAAGGAAGGAAGGAAGGAAGAAAGAATGGTAGAAAGGAAGGAAGGGGGGAAGGTAGAAAGGAAATATGGAAAGAAGGATGGAAGGAAGCAATGTCGAAAATTAGAAAACAGAAGCGAACACAAGGAAGATTGAAATGAGAAAAATGCAGAGTTAAGAAAGGCAATAAAGAAACAGAGAAAGGAAAATAATGCGAAAGAGAAAGACCTTCAAAATGAAAATAAAAAATAAAAGATTAAACGAAACAAACAAAGATATATTACGTCATCTACTACAGCTAACGTAACATTTCTTAAAACTACTTCCAAAAAGAATAAGATAGTTAATTTATGCACAGTAAAAATAAAAACCGAAAACCCGAAGCAGGACTCTATAACTCTTATTGAATTGTCAGAGGTGAGACCAGGATGAATTTAAAATTGAATCCCCAAAAATATTTTTATATATTTTTTTATTTAATTGGTATATGAGCACGCAAAAAATGTTTTAAAAATATCACAAATTTTTCAGTTTCTCTTGGTGAGGAATTCTAGTTTTTAAATTATTTTGCGTCGAAATTAATCCGGAATATATCATTAACAAAAAAATTCAAAACCGATAGAAGTTTAAAATTAAAAAAAAAATGTAAGTATAGAGCCGAAAGATAGAAAAAAGAAAGGCAAAGAACAGAGAGAACGAGAGAGAGAGAGAGAGAGAGAGAGAGAGAGAGAGAGAGAGAGTGTGTGTGTGTGTGTGTGTGTTTATTGAAAATATTAGCATTATGTTTCTTAATTTTTTCTATGTTTTCAGTACAGCTGTAACTTAATTTTAGTGTATTTTTATTGAAAATAGTTACTTTTTTACTTAAATAATATTTAAAAATAAAAAAAAAATGCGATACATATATTTTGATATGAAAAAATAATTTTGAATAATTTAAGTAATTCTATTACATTTACTTGTTTAAAAAGAAATACTGTCTATTAGTAATTTAAAGACATACAGTCTATTAGTAATTTAAAGAAGTAAAAATATTCTAAAATTGTAGTTAAATAAAACGTATTCAACCCAAAGATAGAATGTTTAAGTATACAAGTATGAAAAAAATGCCGAAAAATTTTTGCCGTTAATAAACAAAAAACAAAACAAAAAAAAAAAAAAAGAAAAAAAAAGAAAAAAACAGACGACATGCGTTTAACGGATGTCAAAATTCGTTGAAAAATACACCCCTACCCTCCCTAAACTTAACCTCTTTTTTGGCCGTAACTCATAATTGATACAACAATAGTTAATAAAAATGAACACGCTGCCGCCCCTGTCTGAATGGTTGGATTTCTCTGTATCATTGGAAACATGAAAATTATGAATTTATACGTGCGGTTAAAACACAGTACATTTTAAAAAAGGTATTTCAAAATTCGCTTGAATATGAAACAGAACTAATGCTTTTAATTTAATTATATAATTAAATTTGAAATTTTTAGCTTCAGTTTTTGAAACATGGTTATTACTGTGTAGCGAAAAAACATATTTTAAATCATTTAATTTATAACATTTATGCTCTTTAAATTTACATCGAGCACTGTTTTGTAAAAAAAATAGCAATAAGAACACCGGATTATATATCTTACTGTTCTTTTATATATATATATATATATATATATATATATATATATATATATATATATATATATATATATATATATATTAAAGACATTTTTATGTTTAACGTTGTTATTTATAGAAATAAAATATATATAAAATATTATATATATATAAAAATAAAATGTCTTTAATAAATAAATTGTCGGAACTTGTCCATTTCTTAATATATATATATATGGCGGTGAGTATATGTATGTGTCTGTGTATGTGTGTGTGTGTGTGTGTGCTTGTGCGTATGTTTGTGTGTGCCTGAAATAGTTCAAATGACTTTAGAGTATAAGCAGTATTTGAAACTTTTTCTTGCTATGACAGAATACGTGCCATGGGAATAAAGTAACTGGCATAACAGCCATCTGGGAGTTTGTTGTTTGGTCATTATTTGAATTATATGGATACAGAATTTTGAGATACATCTTGGCATTAAATTAGATATTTAAAGGCTGCCATCCTTGATGTCAGAATCATGGATATTTCTGTTTATTATACAATGTTTAATTCCTAGGCTGACTATAAGCAATAGTTGTTTGTATATCTAGTTTTAGAGAGAACATTATAGAATTCGAGGAACAGATTCGAAAGAAATTGTTAGCAGTTTCTCTTCATTGTATATAATTATTAAGCTATAGCTTGCGTATAACATTAAATAAGTCAATCTCTTTTCGACTTTTAACAATAAAAATGAAAAAAATAAGCGTGGAGTTGATAGAGAACAAGATACAAAGAAGATGGCGATACTAATGTTTAATATAATAATAATAATTATATAACAATTGTTGTAGAATATATACGGACGATAATGGGTATGTCCCCATTCACAAAAATACAGCAGTAATACTATACGTTGGTCTGCAGTTAGAGATTTGTTTCCAGCTGCACTGGTAAAACACTCTGCCTCCGGGCAGAGAGAATCCCCAGACGAGGCTATTTCGAAGGGCAGAGTCTGGTCTCGGGAAACAGCTACCCGACTCCGTTTTATACAGGGTCTACGTGGAATTTTTGGTCGAGCCTGCTGGCTACGTTATCCCACATTAAATTTGACTTTGTGCCACATCTGACCACATGGGGCGGTTGGTAGATATCCTGCAGTTGGAGATGCATTGTGGAATTCATTTGATTTACTTCGAGCAGTTGACCACTTCTTCTACGCTTCGCAGGCTGATCTTATATGTGTTGTTCGTGTCCTAAGTATCATCATTACCAACCTTCGTCTGATTATTCTATTCAGTAACTATCCTTAAATCGCAACGATAATAATAACATAATAATATTAATAATAATAATAATTATTATTATTATTATGGAAATTGATTAGATGTTTTGTTTAATTCAGCAATGTAAAATTTCCCAGTTCTTTTTATTTAAAAAGAGCAGGCTATTTTTTTCCTGGTAAAAATAGTCACCAAGGCTAATTATAAATAGTAATTTAGAACTAAAATTTATCATATATATATATATATAAATATTTATATATATATATATATATATATATATATATATATATATATATAAATAAAATTCAGAATCTAACTACATTCATTAAGAAATCAACAGAAACTTAGCTACTTTGTCAGTAATAAAGATGCCATTTTGTTCTATGGCTGGAGAGCTTCTCTCTTAATATAATGTGGAAAAAAAGCCTTCTGCAATACCTACCGTATATCTAGATATTTTGATCCAAGAAAGTTGTGCAAGATATTTATGGATCATTGAGATCGTCTGCGCTGCGGTTGTGGGAGCTTTGCAGACAGGACTTGAAGAACATGAATTCTGTGGTCTGTGTCTATTGTCTTCAGTGGTTGCACCTGACGTATTGGCAAGACAAACGTCTTCAAGGCTAAGTTTTGTTTTTGCAGAAAATGTTATGCCTTAAGAGCTTAAAATATTCAGAGACTCATTCATTTTATTAATTGATAATGAATAAATGATTTAAGATGCGTTTTAACAATTGATGGTGGTAAAGATTTTCAATTGCTTTAATAATTGATAGTGAAAATTAATAAACTTTTCTGTTAAATCTGTGCGTTGTTGTTTTTAAGATTAACTGCCATCATATTAACAAAAATATTTACCAGCAAAATAGCCCGGGGTCTGTTTTACGGAGACACGTAAAATAAGCTTAGAAGTATATTTGTCTATTTTACCGGGACAGACAAAATAGCTTTAAAAAAATGAGCTTGATTACATAGTTAAAAATCATTTTTTTTTTTTTTTGTTTGGCTGGAAATTTTTGCATACAGCTAATATTTTTTTCTATGCTCGTACATTTTTTGAACTAGTCACCTTAGTTTAAAAATCTTTTATCTGCAATTTTCGATTTTTCTTGGCTCGTGGCATGTTCTCTCTGCCACGCCGTTTATAGCCCCTTAAGATATGTCCAAAAATATTCATTTCATCCCGAGCGTATCTAAAGACATGTATCTAACAATTTCTGAAAAGGTCATGGCTCTGAAGTCAAAATATATAAGTGCCGATAGAAACATTTCATTTCGAGTGACGAAATGTAGATTTTAATTTTAGGACGTCGGTTATATGCTTCGCAACGAAATTGGCGTTATAAACTGTTGTCGAAATAGTTCAATTTAGATAACCTTTCCTCTCAACCCCTCGGCTACTCTGGCAACGATGGTGTGAAATGTCCTGTTGTATGAAATCTTCGATTTGGCGTAGGATATGAGAAAAACTAACAATCATTAGAGAAGAGTGTAAAAAAATAAAATAAAAAATAAACAAGAATATAAATAAAAGATAAAAAATTAAAAAAAAAATAACGATAAGGAAAATTTATTTAAAGAAAAAAGGGTTAGTTTTGTCTGTGAATTTTCTCAAGAAAAGAGAAATAGCACTTTTTATTTCTTTATCATTTCACCCCAAGCAAGGCAATAAGATGCAAGATGTTACAAAGAGAATATGACAAAAAAATTACTGTTAATGGGAGAGGATAATAAAAAAAAAAAAATTAAGTAGACAACACATAACGATTGACATTGCATCTAAATTTTTGAAGATCAAAGTTGACTTGGAAGCAAGAAACTGAAAAAAAGTTCCACAAGCGAGAGGTACGATAGAACAAACTATTAACATTGAACTTACGGTTACATCTCGGCGTTTCAAATGTAAAAAGACGAGACCTTGTCGTCAATCTGGCACTGCGCTTAAATTCAGTCTAGGTACCATAGAGGAAAGTTTATCAGAACAATTACCATGAAAGTATTTATAAAAGAAAAGACAGAGAAAACCAAATTACGGCGGTGGGAAACTAACCGAAGACATTGTGTCAGGTCCGGACCAAGAACATTGCAATTTCTTCTTTGGATTTTATATATATAGCAGGAGCATCAGACCAGATGTGGCTGCAATATTCAAAGTATGGACGAATGGTAGACTTATAAATATACAAGATAGATTCTGGCGGGAAAGATTGTCTGGCACGGCACATTGAACCACATTTCCTAGCAGCAGACTTAACAATTGATTTAATATACTCATTATACTTCATTTCAACTGAAAATGTTAGTCCCAGAAGGCGCAAAGAGTCACTCTCTTGGAGGTTAGCGTCAGCCATG